GTAGTTGCGTGAAAGTAAAAAAAAAAATAAATATGATATCTGATAAAAGAAAATGATTTAAATAATAACCATGATGCAGTCAACCTGGTGGTGCCTAATTGCAACAAAGAAAAAAGAGACACGTAGAGAAATACGCGTGTTGTTGTTTTCCTGCACCCTTTTTTCCCCGTGTCTTCGGGTTAATTTTTAATTACATTGCACGTAATTTCGTTTTTGAGACGTCGCTAAAAGTTTGACGTGTTCGGAGGCCAAAGCATGATCTGTAAAATTTTGGCTTCCACCTATTTCTACGTGGTTGCCAGAATACACCCCATTAAATTAGAAACATCCTGGTAGCTCTCATTAGGTTCAACACGTGCTTCTTTTTCTTTCCACATCTAATGTGTGTTAACATCTAAATAAAATATTTTTTCAACGACACAATTTTTTCTTATGATTCCCCATGGCAGTGCTAAGCACGCAGGTCCGTTTCCAAGGCGACGCTGCCTTGGGTGCCTTGAATGCAGCTCTTTCTAATGCAACATCGGTGTGCCGAGGCGAGTTAGCATCGAGTCTGGGGTGCTGAAAGCTGAGTCTATTGGCGTTCTTTTTTAGAACTGTTGGTAAGATGACAACCTGTCTTAAGACGCGTTTCAACACTCATGCCGCTGATTGTAGACATCTGTCAATCAGCTGACTAGAAACCCCAGCTTGGATGAATAATGCCAAAACTTGTCCGCAGGAGTGTTTCTTATTTTTTTCATATAATGCGGCCGAATGTGTTCAAGACAAGGGCTATTATTGGAACGTAGTACACTTTGTTTCTTTTTAAAATCTACATACATCAAAGCAGAAGGGTTTTTTTTTTTTCTTTTTGGCTTAATAACTTTTTTGCAGCACGAACAAGAATATCCGCGATTAGCGCCTTTGTTAAGAAACGTCATCGATATTCGCACCCAGCTTGTGCAATACACTTTCCATTAGCTTCGTAATGTTGCCCGTTTAATATTCCCTGACAAACAAATTAATCTGCAAGGTACTCTAACTCAGAATGAACCCCTCTAATGGGCTCCTCAGACGAAAAAAAGAACAATCTTCTAATTAAGCGCCACTGCCGACTTTTCGAAGATGAAAGAAGCGTTATTAAAGAACACGTTCGCAGGATAATCTTTACAGACCGTTAATTATCTGATGTTGCGTAGTAGCGTGCCATGTGCGAAATATAATATATCTTCTTGTAGATTACCTCAAGTCGGCTCTCTTTTTTTGCACGTGGAAACAGCGTGAAGATATTTTTCGAGATATTTCCTCGGTATATTTTGCATTTTGCACGCCGCTAAAATGACGACATAATTGGGGCGCAGCCGAAGTTGTTCGAATGTCTAATGACAAACTCATTTTGTATAAGACTGTCTGGAAGAGAAAAGGCGTATCAGGTAGTGAGTACTCCACTGAGCTCAAAGCCCTATTTTTTTGCAGTACAGAAAAAAATCTGAACAACGCGCAGTTCCAACTTTCAATTTTAAAGTAAATTTTAAAAAATGCAGTGATTCCATAAAGCTGCGAGTCCCAATTAGCTTTTTCGTTCAATACGCAATTCTGTTGAAGAATACGAATAGCTTTCATTTATTTAGTTTTCAATCCAGACATACTCACCGGATAAAAATGTAGTAATTGGGAAGAATGCCGACATTAATGCAGGTCCTGAATATTTGTAGTTTTGTACACGGTGAACATTTCAGTCGCGTCCTTAAGCCTACAGGAAATAGAAAAACGACGAGCTCATTAATCTTTACTCAAGGCAGGTTTTAAGCGTCACTTGAGCTGTTTCTCCAGGGGTGTCTTCTGGCAATCTTATGGCCTCAGGATATGAACTGAATGTACAGTTTTAGCGAATTCTTATCGAAGAGCTTATTGAACCGTATATCCATCCCTGATCATTCCTGTACAAACCTCGGACGTAAAACTTCAGAGGTTGCCTCAACGTAATGGAAATGATCATCCAAGGTCGTCGTCGCCTTTTGCTCCAGGCAGACAAAGAAAAATCGGAAGCCGACATTTTGTGTCCGTTTATTATTCTTTTCCGTGCTCCCATATAATACTCGAGCGACAATAAAGTGATTTCTTTTAAAAGTATTTAAACGTACATTGGTTCATAAAAAACGCTCTGCTGGCGTCATGTTAAGGTGTATTTGCGAGTGTAATTAGAACCCGTTCGTCGTCGCGAATGCTAAAGCGCAACTTGCATTATAGTTATTGCTTTTACGAGACATGCTAAAACCCGAAACGGACGTTTACAAAAAAGGACAAACACAAACGTCTCAAATTGAGGTGTTTGTGTTTGTCCCTCTCTGTAAACCTCCGTCTCGGGTTGCAGAATCTCTTATAATAACTAGCTCGCCTGCTTAGGGAAGTTGTCTTTTTGCTTTTATATTTCCTGAAATTCACCACAAATCTATATCAAACAAATCAATTTCCTGCCTCGTTTTTTTTTTTTTTTTTTTTTTTTTTTTAGTTCGCTTTTGCACGATCTTAAGGTTCTCAAGACGACGCATCTTGCTAAGGCCCAAACAGCGGCTTTCGGGCATATACAACATATAAAAAAAGGTCTATATTTCGCATTTTGCAACATCCCCAACGGCGCTTAGTCGACAGGCCTCAAAAGGGTTCACGAGAATACTGTAGGGTGTGGATAGGATTATAATATTGTGAAAACACTTAAATAACGCCCCAATGAATTTCACACTGTTGAACTGTGCAGTACAGATAAGTTTTTATTTGTTTTTTTTAGCTTAGGCGGGGTAAAAATATTTTAGCTCCGCCAAATAGTTTTATTTATTATGCAACTAATATTCAGACAATTGGAGCTTATTTATCCTTCACGGAAATAGAGGTTAATTTGGTACGTGACCGAATTCGTATTTAACGAGCAAATCCTTCCGGTTATAAGCAAATGAAATGAAGATGGGTGCTGTCGAATCTTACCGCACAAATAATTCGTCCTCGGAGAGATTTCCTGCAGAGACTATCGTCTGAGGAGGAGTGGGGCAGTCCTGTGTGACATTTATTATAGATCCAATATTTGGAATGGAAGACCCTCGCACAGATATGTATTCCTGAATAGAACATTACGTATTACATGCATGTGCAATGCCGGTCTCGTTTTTTTTTTTTTTTTTTTTGCCAAGAGACTTAACATCTTTCTAAGCGTCTATGTCCTCAGTTCAGCCTAACAAATATAAATAAGTATTAAAAAAATACTACCGGTAGTTTTGTCTTACAACATAAGAAAGCAGAAAAGCAATGCTCTGATGAATGCTCAATATTCCAGGGCGAATGCAGCATTGAGTATATTTGTTTTCCAACATGCCGATTCTGAAGAAAGAGTGCTGCCGAATGCTCCTCGATTTTCGTAACTTAAATTATGTGCTCGTAGAAAGTGACATTGTGACGCAATTCTCTTTGAGAACTCGGACGAGGAGATCTCTTGCGGTTTTTAAGTTGTAGGTAACAGACTATAGTTGTAAAAACTGGGCGTCGCCAGAAAAGAAACATATCTAAAAGTAATTGCTTTCTCACTCAGTGATGTCCTGAAGCGAAGGGACAACATGATTTTCTTTAGCAAGCAACGAAATCGATAGCTAGTACTTTAGTAGAACATTTAGGCTGAACGTAAAGTGTTCTTTTATTAAGTTAGTTATAAGATTGATTGAAACCACATTTTCTAACGTGTGACTGACACGACTATCAAACTTGCGTGAAGGCATCTGAGTCTTGGAATCGTGTTTAAATTTAACGTCATGTCACCAGCAATACAATTGAAGGCGAAAAGTTCCTTCACACACAGCCGTTCCAAGGGATCATAGGCCTATTCTTTCTTATAGGCACATCCAATACCACATCGATAGAAGGCCGTAGTGCTGGACGTACTACGTCACATACTGAGGGCCAGCGCGGGGCCCATAGCTGACATGAGTGCTATGTGAAAATTCGGCTGAAACTCACGATCAATCGGTTAGAAAACGAGTGCCAGTCGGTCGCTTCCACGACACTCGTGTTCTAGTATATGACTCGCGCTGGCGTCAGTAGGTGACGTTGTAAAAACCAGCAGAAAAGGGTACTAACAGGCTACCCGTACCGGTTATGGTCCTGCATCATTGCGTTATGCCAGGGGTGCACAACATGAGACTTATGGGCCGCATACGGCCTGCGGGCACTTTCTGTGCGGCCCTTGGACAGGACACTGCGAGATGTGCGCAAGACGGTAACCGGTGTGATGATGCCAGACATTAAAAACCTGCCTGCCAGATGTTTAAAACCCGCGCAGTTCCCAATAAACATTTTTTGGGGCCGCGTCATTTTTGAGTTGTGAACCCCTGGCGTTGCCTTTGTTACCGAAGCAACTAAAAGCGGACATCTTTGGGGAATAAAAATAAAATCTTAACTAGCATTGCATTACAAACCATATAATTTTCCACGTGTTGCCTATACAGTCTACCGTGTCGTGTATAAATTTGAAATTGTTTGTTTTTTTCGCGCTTGAAGTTTTTTTTAGTGCATTGGTATGGGTAGCTGTGCTTGTGTCTTTGGTTTAACTTGTCCAAGTATCTATTAGAGCAATAATCGAAGAAGCTTGTCTTTTTTACGAAATCGCTTTCCCGGCAACGTGTGTTAGAAAGACGGGACACTGTAGAGCTGCAGCTTTTTGTCCGGCCTTCCTCCTCCTTTTTTACAAACCAAAAAAGCTGTAGCAACCAATTCACTAAATATTTGGCGTTTCATAAACAGAAAAAAAAAAAAGAAGAATGTGGCTGAGATGCGAGGCGCTAGCCTCGGAGAGCGCCTTCCAATGAACGCGGAGACACGCAAGGCAGAACGCTAACAGCCACGACAGTAACCGGACGTTCGCTTTGGTTTCTTCGCTCAATTTCTTGGGTCTGCAGTCCGTCCTTTCCCACATAAGAAGTACAAGCCTCGGATATAGGCGGTGTTGGTAGATATAGGATCCGGAGCCCACGTACCGCACTGCGGCACGTCGTTCCTCCAGTCCAGGACGTGGCCCCTCTGGGCGCAGGCGTGGGCGTAGTGCGAGAGCACGGGGCAGATGCAGTCCCTGGCGTCGGAGGCGCAGCTGCAGGCTGCCTGGATGCACAGCTCGAAGAACTGCTCCGGATGCACCGCTTCGTGGCATCCTGGGAGCGCCAAACACGATGGCACAACGTCAGTCCTCCAAGATTACACAAGCAACCATCATCATCATAATCATCATCTCATCATCACCGTCTTTTTTCCTCTGTGCCCATAAACAATCAATTGTAACGACATGTACACTCTCAAGAAAAAGGGTGTATCGTTACACCCTTTGTCCCACATAATACACCCCAAAGCTTCATTTCGACGTACAGCGCACTATAGTCGAACACACGACCCCAAATTTTACGAGGGGCTTGATAACAGTGCAATATAACTTTTTAAATTGCTAAAGTACGTATGAAAGACCACAGAAAGAAAACACGCAAGTTTTTACAGTAGGGCCAAGAAAACCCCGCTTATTTTTTTTTTTTTTTTTTTGTTGTCAGTAAAACGTACATTAGCCATTTTAATAAGTTGTACCACACGGCTATCAAGTCCTTCATAAAAGTTGGGGACGTCTGTTTGACTGTAGGGCGCTGTACGTCGAATTGAAGTTTTGGGGTGTATTATATGGGACAAAGGGTGTAGAGATACACCATTTTACACCCTTTTTTCTTTGGAGTGTACCGCTGTCCATGACGGGCGTGATTGCTTTCATTCCGAAGACATAGTACGTCAGCCATAGAGATTTTCATTGGCGCTCGTTTGACTTTTATGAAAGAACTTAAAATCAGTTATTAGAAAGATAATAATTTTATTTTTGTAAGCTATTTAAAACAAATAAGTAACATTTACTAACAAATGTAAAAGAAATGTATCTCTTTATGAATCTCGTTTAAATGAAACAAAATTGGAAAGAATGGTTCAATTCGTTGTAAAGTTGCAAGGTCTGGAAATTTTACTAAAACTCCGACTTAAGACTAAGACTCTCTTTCCGCCTGTCCTCTTCAAGCGCAGTTTCGCGTTCTAGATATTCCAACTCCAAGCAGCGTTTCCACTTTTGTTATATGCGTCCACAATTTCGTGAATTCAACATATTTCAAGCGCACAGTTTTTGTCATCTTGATATCTTCTTTTTTTTATATAATACTTTGGTTGTGCAAGTAAAAATTGCATTTACAGATATTTGTGCGTTGCATTTTTTGCGATCTATCCAAAAATATTGCGGCAGTTCGTATTCACCTAGAATGAACAAGTAATAAAACAATAAATGAATGGACGAAATAGCGAGCAAATGCGTCCCTTCGCAATCATTGTCTTGCAAATAGCAACGTGGCGTGACATTTTTTATGCCGCATTTTATCCAGCGAGCGAAGCACGCATCTCTAGATGTTTGCCTAACATAATTGGCTGTTTCGAGAATTGCTGCGAAGAAACAGTTTTCGCAACGCCCGTCCCTTCAAAAGACGCAACCCCGTGAGTTGTGGAATATGTGCTCAAAGTGTTCAAAGTGCCAATGATAAAACCCTCGTGTGCCGATAATATTCCCTGGAGAAGGGGAACAAGGGGGACATAGGACAAACACAAATCTCCAAACACAGCTTCTCAAGGGATTATTATCGTCATTCTTGTCCAGCTCACCTGCACCTTAGCAATAAATGCATTATCATCATAAAACACTCGTCGTTTTTATTTTGATAAATTCAGTATTCAAATGTTTCTTTCTTTCCGTGTCGTACGGGCAATAGACGCAATAACTTTTTTTTAAAATATATTTAAGTAGAGTCAAAACGCACGAACAAATTAGCTACAATACCCGAAGACGTTTTTCCTAACTTGCTAGAAGCAAAAGCGTTACAGCTAAGTATGTGTGCGTCAGCACGTGCGCGAGCTTACCCTGCACTAATGTCAGCGGTCCAACCATTTTGTTTCCATTTTATGCAAAATATATTCCGTAAACATAACTTATTGATTGTAAGTTCTCAAGAGAATTTAATAGCACTGAAGGTGTTTTATGCAGGAAGCTCTATTCTTTCCTTATGAGTTACCCTAGCCTGTGATAAGCTGGTGAAACGCTGCTTCTGAAAGTGAGCGTATGTTTTACTTTCCCTTCTAAAATTATTATGTTCTTTTATAAGACTTGTTCTCCCCTAAATTAAACATAGAGTTATCCGCCTGGTTCATACTCTGCTCGGAGTGAATAGTTTTATTTAAATTAACTGATAAACAAAACAAAAAAATAACTTTTTTGCAGTTGAAGATTTGTACACATGGTGGCACTGCAAGGAGAACAAACGATCGACATTTTTTTTTATTATTGAAAGGGTGTTATTAAACTACCATTGAAGTGAAACGCGGTGAATTAGGACACTCGTCTAAGAGGCAAACTGCTACCTTCATAATGTGCAGGTTTTTGGGGGTTTTTTTTTGTGTTTTTGTTTTTTACGTCTTCACTCATGTTCACGCTTGCATAATGCCTAAAGGCGTAGCAGCTATGCATGCAAATAAAGATAATTTCGAAGCAACTAAAAATAAAAACAAAAGCTTCATTGTCCTCTCCACGCGAAGAGCGTCGCCAAGTGTACACTTTAGTAAAAAAGAAAGATAGGAACTCATACCTTATTTTAATTCTGCATCTTAGTACGTTAATTCAGCACATAACCATACTCCGCAACGAGCCGCACTTCCTCTTTGTTTACGGCTCTCGAGCTGAAAACGAGTGCAGCTTCCAACACGGGCAAAGTATATAGCGGAGAGCTGACCTGCAAATGAGTTTAGGTAGAGCTGCCTGCAGAGTTTCTTGCTCTCTCGCCAGTGAGGCTGGGCTTCGTCGCACTGTTGGGTGGCTGGTCTCACGTCGGTGCACTCGGCGTTCGCCCACTGACGAACAAAGGACTCCACCTGGGAAAGAGGAGAGTTGGCTTCCCGATTCTGTCGTTGCAACATTTGTGGAAACATTCATCCAATTGTCACGCATGGGTTCGAGCATAAATGCAGGGACCGCTAGGAACATAAACAGCTGATATGCTCAAAATTGGCATTAGTAATTCGTGTTTTCTTAAAAACAACTTCAACGTTATTTCTTGTTTTCTTTTTTTTACTTTAACGATTTATCTTTTTTAATAAAAAAGTGAAGTCGTTGGGATTTTTCAATAGTCTGAATTTCCCTTAGCTTGGATCTAACTCTATCCTTTTGTGTCCCATGTCAACAAGGGCACAGCCCAAGCAGGCCAAACATGCTCTTCGGGCCTGTGTGATTGGTGTGATTTGATCAAGAAGTTTATGGTATTAGCGGAAATTCCTCTAATTTTTATAGGCAGTGTGCTCATTGATTGATTTATTCGGTATACTTTTCAGCGCCCAAAGGCATTACAGAGGGGGGGATTTTCGGGAGCCAGCAAAGCTACTAAACCTGATCATTTGTTTCGTTAAAACTTATGTCACTAGTAAGGAACGTGGGCGATTACCCGATATCTCACAGCAGTAGTTTGCAGAGACACTCTTTTACCTGTTGATCGACGTCCCCACCGGGGCACAGAAACTCGTCCTGAACATTGTGGTTGAATGTGCCACAGAGCCCCATCGTGTTCGTGTAGAGTGCTTCGTTGGCCTTCATAACAAGCCGGGTCTTGCCGTCTGTCAGCAAGGTCAGTCCTTCAAGTTCGACCTGCGTGAATCCATTTTGAACACAGAACTAAAGTCACGTGGGCCCTGACAACATATTCGTCACAAAACAATTATACTAGAAAAAAAGTGCGGCGAGCGTAAGCCCCTGAAGGTGATACTCGCCTCAACATAGAAAGATGTGGGCCTGGTGATGGTAACCTTCGGGAACACAGCAGGGAGAGAATGGACCTCTCGGCCGTTGACGCTAACCTGCGGTGCGATGCAATAGAGCGATGCGAATTCAAGTGATATTTACAATCGATGGAAAACCACTGCATGATTATTTTCAACAATTAATTTTGAGTACATTCGGCTGTGTTACAATGAAATATATCTACACAAATGAGGAATCTAAAGAACTCACCCGGCACAAAACGGAAGTGTTCTTTCTTTAAGGTTATAACTCTATGTGACCGGAATAGTCTTATATTTAAATCCAATTAGATAGTTTGAGCGAGACAAGGAGGAAAAAAACTAATAGACACGACAAAGATTGGTGCTGTTTGCCTTATTTTGTCATTATCTTGTTCGTTCTTTTTAATTAGTTTTCAGCATGAACTAACTAGTGGAATCAGGATGCAATGCACTTTTATATATTTGACCACGCTCATGATCCCGAGTACAATTCGACGGGCCAGTACGTTTACATTAGGTAACATAGTTCGCCATTCTCTGACAAGACATGACCAGGCGCAAAGTATCTTCGTACCTGGAGCTCCTGGTTGACCTTCACAGCTAGGCTATCACCAATCTTCAGAATAACGTCGCCTAGGCAGACGGCATCCGGGGCGAGCAGCGAGCACGAGCTCCTGTCCAGGGCCACGGTGAGTCCTTGTGCCTGGAGGAGCGTGAAGCTACAGTGGCCGCCCTGGATCTGGAACCGATGTCCGTCGAAAGTGGTGAAGATGCCGCCCAGAAGCACGGAGCAGCTTGCGTCGCAGATGGCCTCGGTGCACCTCCAGTTCCCGTGATCACAGATGCTGCATCCACCATGACAGACACTCAAGGAGAGAACCAACTGATTTCAAAGGCTCCGGGAAGGAGTTAGGTTCTGTAACTTAATATTCTGCAAAAGATCGCATTTCTTTTTTGCCTCTCATCGCTGTTTGTACTTTTCACGCAGTATAAATTACAGTTTCAGAACAGCGTGAGTGGCGTATGCAAAGAACCTACTAGTCTATCGGCGCACAATTTAGTGCGTTCACTCTGTGTGTGAGGGACTACAGTCAAGTCTCGTTCATAAGCACTCGTTTGTTCCTCCCGAAAAGCGCTCATAATGTGAGTTTCCATATTAATGAGACAAAAATGAGTGTATTCACCCGCTTCGTCCCCGAAGATGATGTCTATGTAGAGGGGTATTCATATTAACGGAGTCCGTATTAGCCAGAAAATTACTTTACAAAGCACAAACAATAATTGAAAAAGATAGTATGACTCCGCCTAGGTTAATAGCTACCATGATATACATTATTGCCTGAAAGTAAATCAGCTGTAATACTTAAGTTGCGACAGACGTTGGACCAAGTAACGTTTCTTAGCAAAACATAGACCCCCGCTCTGGGGCTTCGAAGATTTTTATGTAATTTCAAGTTCCGTTCACCTGCCTAACTTTCGTGATTTGTTGTAATTTATATTATTGCTTGTTATTCATTGTAAAAAGCTGCAAGAGGAAATTAGGAGTATCGCAAAATGCTACGTTTTACAGTGCAAAAAACTGGGTTCAAAAAACAAGAGACGCGTACATCAAGCTACATGAAGCTGCATTTTACGATTTTCTTCGAATTTTGTCTCCGCTTTTCTAGATTAATTTTTTTACCGCTGTGACTTCCTCAGGTTGTCACCTCCAAAGCTATTCTTTTTTGATAAGTTTGTGTTAATACATTAGGCTAAAACATTCCTCAATTTTGAACGTTTTAAAAATATCGGTAAACGGCAATTTGGTAGTATAAAACTTAACTGCAAAATAGTTGTTGGTGGTACTTTATTTTTTGCATTTAATTCTTTAGGGGATAAAAACTTGCGGCAATATCCGTGTTCTCCAGGGGGATAAATTTAGTCACCCCGAGTACGAGATCTATTTCACCTCTCGCGTAGCGAGCGAAGTTAACGTTTGTAGACGATCCGTCGGCTAACGCGAGCGAAGAACGTGGTTTCCTTGCTAGGGAGCGTCATTCGCAAACAAAAATAAAACATAAAACACCCTACGTCGTTTACTGACAATTCGAAAAAAAGTTAGTCGTCTGCTACGGAACAAGCGCCGCGGCAAAGTGGAGTCGGCCGTGGGCCGAATTTGAGGTCGTGTGCTTTTTCGCGTTGGAAACCATTGTCAACCTGCGCTACGCTTTCAAATCTCGCGTTGTCTGCTGCCAGACACAAGCTCACATCTACCGGTAAATAAAGGAGTGCTTATCAGAGGCTGTGGTACCTCTCTGGCTATGTTTATGTTGGTGAGACGTTCACACCAAAAAATATTGTCCAATTTCGCATTGGCGAACGGGTCCACAATGTCTCATCGTTTGATTATGCGTAGGCTGTGGCGCCTCATGCAGTCGGTAACCGAGAACGTTCTTGCTCTGACTCTGACCAAAACTTGACTCCTGGGGCCCTAATCTACAGAGCGGGATCAGGCGGGACGGGGGGACCGCGACAGCCCGCCTGCTGCGATTGGTCAGCTCGGCACCGCTGACCATTCGCAGCAGGCGGCGATGACCTGGTTGCCTGGTCTCTCTCGGTCCCGCCGTGTAGATTAGGGCTCCAGGAGAGCTAAATCGGCCATCTGGAGTAGAGACGATATAAGGGCAATCAGAGATTACGGTAAGAGTGAAAAGATCCTAGATAATATCAGCGTTCTCCAAATGCGTTCTGCGGGAGTTCTGTAGGCAATGTAGCTTTTTTCCAGTGAGCTTCCGCGCGTGCGTAAACCTTGTCCCCTTAGCTTGGTTTTCGCTGTCGCCATTTTCGGGGGGGGGGGGGGGGGGGGGGTAAAGTTCCTCACGTTCAACATATTCAGCACCTATTTTTGCGCGTATTTCGTCTTTTTTGACGATTCCTTGTTGAGTATTGGTAGTAGGGAGTACGGAAGGAAGTAAAGAACGTTATACCCGCACGGCACGATGCCAATGCATTTTGACAGGCGGAGGCATATTGGGCTGCCCTTCATTCCTAGGTTACAGAGAGCTCCCCAGACGACGCTCGTTACTGGAAAAGGTTCATTAATCCTCCTTCGGACGCGGCTTCCGTTATGGCAAAAACATAGGCACGTGCTTCTTTAATAAGACAACACAACCATTTTTATGCATATATGAGCCAGCATAATTAGATGGAGGGTTCTAGACAATTAAAGTTTTCATTTTTGGTTTCATAAATAATGAAATAAATATTAATTTTCTACTTTTTTATGTTCAGATATGATATTCTTCGAGCATGCTTTGAACTTGGGAGGTCGCCAACTATAAGTTCGATGTTGTCAAATAACGGCCTGAAGCTGGGTTAGTTCTGAGAATCGAAGAGTACGTACCCCCATTCAAAGTACAAGCCATTCATAAGAAGAAGAAAAAAACGTGTTTTCATGCTCTTTGGAAATAATCTATGCAACGCAGAAAACTCATACTCCGTTAGAATGTGGCTCTAGTGGTAGGCATAGAATGCGATCGTTTGAGAACATGACGTTACCTGGATCAAAAGATAAGGGAGAAAGACGAAATTTTTTTGGCAGCTGATATCCTACTAAGCCTATTATCGACAAATCAAGAAATGACATTTTGGGTGCCTGCTGCATCTATTTCAGTAAAAAAAAAAAAAAAGAAAACTTGTTAGCAGGAAAAAAACGACTTTATTCTCTCTCTTGCTGACAACCATTTTTTTTTTTTTTTTTTTTTATAAATCCCACTTGCGTCCACAATGTAAGTTCATGTTTCGGCATTATTAGACTTAGGTGGACGTCGGCTCATTAAAGTGCGTTGTCTTTCTCAATTGTCTTTCAATCCAGGTAACGTCAGAGTTTAAGCTTCCTGCGATGCATGCTTTATTTACGCGGGATAAAAAAAATCCGGTTTTTTTAGTCCCTAAAACGCGTAGTACTTTTACAAGTGCGCACGTGTGTTCATCGAGCAAGTTGGATATATATAAAACCCAAAGCCGCTTTGCGATATTTGATATGCCACTTATTATGTTACTGATGGTCGAAAGCTTTTGTTAATGTCGCTAGTAACTTTCCTACACGAACAAATCTGATTCCCAATCTTTGTGTGGGCGAAACACATTCTCATTGTACTTTAAAGGTGCACGCATCATACGTCCTTTTCTTTTGTGTATATACTTCGTTTCTCTACGTATACAAAAGTTTTGTAGAAATTCATTTCAGGGCAATCAAATTTGCATAGCGTTGTTGCTGTTGTTGTTGTTGTTTTGTTGTTTGTATCCCAAACCTCTTTCTGGGACGCCGTAGCAGAAAGAGTCAACGCCATTTTTAATATGATACTTTCTAACTATGCAAAATATGCTCCCTTAATTATCAGAGCTGTGTCCATGAGCTCATTTTTATGTTCCTTTGTCCCGTGGTATTTTTAGATCACCAGATTGCTGCCATTAAGGTGTCAGATCCCTTCTGTACCCAGAACATATTAGCATCTCGATCATCACCTAATATGCACCCCGAGCAATATTAAACTTCAACTGCGAATAAATGTATTCCGGCAGTGCAGTACCAGTTATTTATAAACGCCACTCAATCCAGTGACCAGTAAAACGATTATCTCCATGTAGAGTTCCAACAGCGATACCTCTTGACTTTCTTTTTGTTCTCCCGAAAGCTGGCAATCCTTTCTCCTGAAAGCTATCAATTTCTTCGAGGGCGTCCATTCTTTGTGACCGAGCCAAGAACTGCCGAGTCGAGCTTCGGTGCCCAGACACGCTCTAATTCCTCGTCCGGCGGTGTTGAACCATTACTCACCAAGTGTTGCAGTCCTCGTCCACCCTGTCGCCTGATTTGTAGTCCCGTCCGCGGTACGAGCAGCCACACTCGCTCGGGACTACGCAGCGGTCGCCCTGCCACAGCGTTCCCTCGGGACAGTGACAGCCGCACACGCACTGGTTCACCGAGCAGGCCGGCTCGGGGTCCGAACACGTGGCCCGACACGCTGGGCCGCACTCCCGCCACTCTGTGCCGTTCGTGCAGGTCGCCTCTGCGGTTGTCCCGGAGGAAATCCAAGAAACGGGTCGTCAGCCTGATCGTCTCCGAACCCCGTGAAGCGGCTCCTTTTCTCGGAAAAACGGGAGACACGCATGGACGGCGTAAAGAAATCTCTACTCCTAAAAGCGGATGCTGATGAATCAGCGAAATATATCCTCTCAAACTTCTTCACCGTATTTTCCAAGTGGGTCGGTTGGATACAAGCTGCACTCTATTCTGGAAAACGTGGTTATCGACTGAAAGAGACGTGATTACACAGCGAGACCTCGAGAACCATGGATGAGTCGGGTGGTTTATTATACTGAGGGAAAGTTCAACTACGGTGTAGTCTACAGGACTGTTCAAAGCAGCGTTTCGCCAAATACCAGACGCAAGGGCATGAGTCCCACTTCCTATTAATTTCTAACAGCACTGTATTCAAAGCATGCAGCTTCCACCGCAGTCTCTACTTAGGGGTGAACGGAGTATTTATGAATATGGCAAGAAAACAAAACCGCGGCTCATACTACAAGAAAAACAAAAATGAGGGTTGTGCCATTGAGCGTCGCGTATGTTTTGTGCTCGTTCCTTTCGGTGTTCAAAACTTTCCGCCGATTTTGGTATCTCGCATTGTGCTACTCACGGCAGACGGTGTTTTCTCTCCAGGAAGACTTTACGTGGACACCGAGTCTCTGGCATTCCCGGAAGTATTCCTCGAGCGTGGCACACTCGCAGCCGGAAGGAGATTTCTTGTCGCAGCAGTCCTGCTTGCAAGCCTCGAAGAAAGGATGGGGCTTCAGGACCTGGTTGCGAAAAAAGAAAGGAATTAAATTGTTACCTGTCTCGTCACTTCCAGTTTCGAATATACCCTTTTCAAAGATCACTGCCATCTGGTGACTCAGAAAGCAGTTGCACTTTGGACAAATTAATGGCGGTCATGGAACTGTATTTCATCAGGTGCCGACACTTTCGCATGTTGATACAGATTAGAATTTTTTGTTTGTTTTTTTGTCTTTATTACCTCATTGTTCTTTTAAAGTGTTCACTCCCTTGTATAATGCCCTTTGGGCCTTCAAGGAATAATAAATGATGATGATGATGATGATAGTTCTTTCTAGATTTGTTTCAGTTTCGATGGTGTGTACATAAGGAGTGACCACTCCAAAGCGACGAAAATTGATGGCGCAAATTATTTGAATTTCTGCCATCAATAGGCTTCAGGGCCAAACTTGTGCCAGGAGATTGATCGGACCACACTCAGAAAGAAACGCTTAAGGCCCTTTCACACACTTGCGACATCTTAGAACCGGATGCCTTGGAACCTCTTAATATCTCTTACAACGAGAAAGCACTCTGGCGCCATCTAATGGGTAGCAGTGTAAACTTGGCGGTCCGGCAGATTTACTATTTCTCTCGCGCATTATCCTTTCTTTCTTGGCTCGAAAAACTTTTGTCCACGTCATTAACGAGCCTTTTTTATAGGTATTACGCACATTTGACCTAGGAAATCCCGCAAAACCTTCGCTCACGTGAAATGGAGTTCCAGGGTATAGATGGCGGAAGAGTGCCAGTGTGTTCCCTCGTCCTAAGAAATTTTAAGAGGTTTCAACAGGTCTCGTCTCTATCGGTCGTACTCGGTTGTAAGAGTGTGAATGGGCCATTACGCAGCCGTTGTACTTAACTTGTGAGTTCTGTTGTACTGACGTGCCGAACGTAATCTTCAACATCTTCCTTCATCAGCCACAGAAACGTCTCCATTACTTTGGCACAGATGTCATGCACTGAGGTGATGATGATGATAGCTATCAATGTTGCGAAACTGAATTTCGAAAAGCTTGTGTCATATCAAACCTCTCTTATTTCCACAAAACATTGCACGGTGTACGTGTAATTATACATAAAATGGTCACGAGGTGTTTGGCACCAACCTATAATTGGTCATATTTTGCGTTCTAAATATAAAAAAAGCCTTTCTTGCGTTCGCGCCACGCGTGTTGCACAGTGTTCTCAAAAAATTTGCACATGTGTCAATGTATGTCTTATTCTATTGCTTACTTTATTCTTTTCTTTACCCGCGCATTGCAGTGGCATCACTTCTAAGCTTTCTATTTTAGGACATTTTAATTTTTCAGTTTTTCAAATAATATCAGATGACATCATGCGACATACTATCAAATGACCGATAATTTTATTTTCTTGGGGAGAAGATAAATAAGCAAATGCTCTGTGGAATAATAAGAATTTGAAGGCCGTGAGTGAATAGTAAAATCTGAAAGATTGTCACTCGAAGTAAAGTAAGCCGCCTGATGTAATAAATCATTTTTTCTAAAGTTCTTGAGATCCAGCTGCACTCCCCAATGTCCAGTCATGAGGTCCGAGGTCGATAAATAACTTAAAATAACCTTCATAATAGTTTGTATAAACTTGAACCATGTAGGCGATCGAGAGAAAAATATCGAGCCGTACCAGCAGCTACCTCGTGAAGGTAGTTAGTTTGTTATAGTACAAGACAGCCTTGCGCAGCCTCTCTGTTTCAGCCTCAAAGACTTGTAACAATCAGATGCAAGCGGAAAAGTTGCCGATGTTGTCGATGTTTTGCTGAACAAATGCGTTCAAATTGTTTTGGCGCGGCATTCTAAATTTTTTTTAATTGCTTTTTGGGTCAGTTTAGCTTATTCAGGCGCCAAGCTTGCATATAAATCTGCACAATAAAATTAAGATAATAAAAAATCACGGAGAAAATTTTTGCTTGACTTCAAACAAACAAAGTCATATACAGATGTAAATAAGACAGCGCATATGGTGGGTATTCAAATCACTTTCTTCATCGTTGCAGAGTCAATTCAAAACAGAAATTTTTTGAAACAAGAAAAAGAAGGGCTATAAGACTGTTCACAACAATAAAAATTGTACAACTCTCAAGAATGTGCAAGCATAGTCAAGTGAGAGAAAGCCACTCTCAAATGTTTGTTCGGTTTTCAATCAGCCATTTTAAAGTTAATTTTAAAAAGAATAAGTAAATTTTGTTTCCGACATATCTGATGAAAATAGATGTAAATTACAGTTAAAATTAGGCGAAACAAGACTCGCCTGGTGGCAGTCCTTGTAGATGTCGTTGAAGACCATCGAACAGCTGTCGAACGCCTTTTGGAACACATCTCTGTCTTCGCTCGACTGAATGGCGCACGCATCTCGTTCGTGTCCGCCGTGGAAGCAGTCTGAAACCAAAAAAAAAAACACACAGCCACCTGAATTTTTATAATTGTCCACGAATTTCCGGCTACGCTTTGATCGACATGGCCACAAAAACCACAGGTCTCTAGGATCGGTAATCTTGACGTGCTTCGTGTGATATTATTTTATACTTATATAACTGCGTTCCTGCAGCATCATCTTGAAGTCCATTACTACAGTAAGAAGAAAGCCTGGTTGTGGGTGCTTACGACCGTGTGCCTTAAACCCTCTTTAAATATCTTCCAACGAGAGAACACACGCTGGCCCCATCTATCGGCTAGTTGTCCACACTTTCCCTTGATCCTTCCGTTATAACATGGATTGAAAATTTCCACTCCTATCGAACCCAGCATGTGCACGTCAGCAACTGCCGTTCTCTAAGCGCTCCTGTAACCTCTGGCATACCGCAAGGTTCTATTCTTTGACCCTTGCTTATTCTTGTGTACATGAATTATCTCCTCCTTTCACTATCCTCTACGGTCCATCTGTTTGCCGATGACTGCATGATCTGCAGACTCATACCTAACACAAATGACTCACTTAATCTACAGACTGATCTTGACAGAATTAACGCATGGTGTTCAAGTGGCAAATGATTTTAAATGTTTCCAAATCTAAATCCCTTTTTTTTTTTTTGAACTCGCCAGCATCTTTACGTTTCCTGCTATATTGGTAACTCCAACTTAGATTCCGTCTCAACTTACAAATATCTTGGCGTTCACTGTACTCACGACCTTTCCTGAAAAACTCATATTGACATTGTCATTCCCGATGCAAACCGCACTCTGTTTTCTACGCTGTAATCTTCGTCTCGCGTCCTCATCTGTCAAACGCCTCGCATACGTCATGTTAGTACGCCCAGAATTAGAATAAGCATCATCTTTCTCGGAGGCTCATCTTAAATACTTTGCATCTGACATAAAATCACTTCAGAGCCGGGCAGCTTGCTTTATAACATCTCAGTCGACTCCAGGTTTGCTTCCGTCACTGAACTTGAACAAAATTTATATTTGACTCATTTATGTGCACGTGTGCATATTACTAAACAGTGCCATTTTCGCAGGTTTTATTACGACGATCACCTAGATATCTCATTCATATTGACACCTCCTCTCATATCAGCTCATGTTGACCAAAAGTTGGTCTTCTTTTTAGTCGAAATACGTCACTATTTAAACCATTTTTCCCGGCGGCATTTGCGGACTGGGGCGGCCTGCTTGAATTCATTGTCTCCACTCAAAACGTTGACTCGTTCCGCGAATTTTTATTATCGCACTTTCTTTAAACCTACTCCCCTGTTTAATACCCTGACTGCAAGGTTCCTAAGGTATTAAAATAGAAGAAATAGAAGTACGTCAATCGGCATACAACGATATTCGATTTGAACTACTATTCGCCCACCTTTATTTATAATTAAAATTTTAATCGTGTTTAACATTCAGTTGATGGATACGAGCATACAATAATCCTTCCTGTCACATCAATCATATGATAACGTTGATAATAACATCCTTCACAAATACGTTGTAATATTTTCCGTCCATCGTCTTATTGGTGTGTTCATTTACTTGTACATCTGTATTTATTTGGAGGCACTAAACCTGGCATTGATTGTCAGTGCAGTGTCCCGCTCGCTCACCTCTTTCGAGCGACCAGGAGATCGCGAAATCTCTGGCACTGAGAGCCCCGCTGCCGTCCATGGGAACCAAGTCATTGGAAGGTTCTCCGTCGTAGTGGCCGCACAGACCGCATGCAGAGGCCCGCAGCGCTGGTGTTACTCGCAGCTGCACAGATTCCTGAAACAGTAGGTCAAATTTTGTGAACATCTTGTTTCAGAATCCCAGTCGGTTTGTGTCAAAGAACCCGCGTCTGCCACAAACCAGTTCCTATTAGCACAATACGAAATGAAGCTTTTTTTTTGTTTTGTTTTTTCTTACGAGAATACGATAAAGCGCTTCAGAGGAGTACGTGTTTCCTATTTTCTTACGCAAATTTAATAAGGCTCTCCTCCCACAAGAAGAACGTACAACAAGTTTCACAGCCATGTGAATATCTTCTTGTTAGCAACATTTCTTTAGTGCTGAGCTGCGCCAACTGGACATCAAAGATGTCTGTGAACCAGTGGCACGTTAGAGAATAGCTTGGTTCGACAAAAAACAATGTTTCCGGTGTTTTACGCGGTAGTGCGACTAGACTATAAGTTTCATGTTAAAGATGCGACTTTCCAAACATAGACGGTTTCCCGGTACTTTTTTTGTTATCGCTCATTTACCGCCTAGTCTCACGAGGCAGAGATACACGCAACACGGCTCCCCAACATAAAAAAACGAGTTATGTCCAAGCCAATTATATTTTGTTCGCCAACACGTTATTTTAAACGAAACGCGAAGGAAGTCTAAGTTGGTAGAAGGAACTCGAAAAATGCTCCTCGAAAAATGAGCTTAAGCTAGTAGCTAGTAAAATATAACTTCAAACAAGTCCCTTTGAAATCTCCGACGAGTTTCCAGAATGCTTCTTTAAGATCTCTTATTTCCTGCTTCTATGCATTCGTGTCTCGTCTAGACATCCAATCATGAACTCTTAGAAAGTCTTCTTCCCTTGCTTTCAAACTTCATGTCTGCTCCCTTTCAAAATATTACATGACCTGTTGACGATTGTAAACCGCACAAAACGGCTGCTGACAAAGTGCTAGCAACCCCGCCCCTGCCTGCTTTGATCTGGATGAGCATCGTACCGCCGTGCGCTACTGTATTACTACTCCATGATGCACATTAAAAGCCTCAAGCCAGCGGTGGTACTGAATTGGCTAAATTGCTCATCCACAAGAGAACGATTAGATGAACCTTGGGGCAGACTAGCTTCAGTCTGTCTAAACTTTCATACAACAAATTATTCTCCACGTGTGGTCTTTCGTTCTCCTTCGTCTGGTGGATCGATGTATATACAATTCGATTGTACTTTGAACAGAAGAAGGGTTTAATTTGCACATTTGGAGAGCTTCTCATACCGGTCACATATAAACGTTGCAGATAGTGTTATTTTTCAACAAATCAATTAGTTTTTCCAAGATAATTCGTGTCAGTGTGTTTCTGTTATCAGTGAAAAAGGTAAAAAAACTGATATGCGTTTACTACAGTAATGAAATCTATACTTTTTATGGCTGCAGTGCAATTAACTGTTTAAGAATGTTAGTTAGACCACATTTGTCGATGTTTCTATTCATTGAGCTTTATTACACAAACGTGACTTCGCATTTTTATAATGAACCAAAAGGAACGATGATTCTGTGCTAATTCCTTGTTGTCCACACAATGTCATGTTTGTGACACCTGGTCTTGAGCAAAAGCAGGCGTGGCTGGTTAGCCGTTTGCGTCTTAAGCGTATGTAAAAAGCTTGGCTATCTTAAACTAAACAAGATATTGGCAGGTCGAATGTCAGGAATGCAGACCGTCAGGTGGTGAAGACAAACAAAGTATGCCACCCGCAGTTCTGATTGAGATACATACGTTGCACTTGAAAGCTTCGAATGCAAGTCACCACCATACCTCGTCCAACCACAGGGTGAATCCATGCGGGCTTTGCAGCACGAGGTAAGTTCCGGCCTCCTGAGCGATCAGAGATGGCATGTGGCTGACCAGAGTGGACAGGTCGCGAACAGCCCCCTTGGTCAACGGTATCGAGACTCGCTCTATTCCAGAGACAATGTGCAGGGTCCTGGTGCAATCGGGCGACTCTGGGCAGCCCTGGGAGTGCTCCAGGTTGATCGAGAAGGCCTCGTCGTGCTGGCAGTCCTTGAGCAACACGTAACTGCAGGCACCGGCGAAGCGGTACAGGGTGCCATCGAAGCTCTTGAACTGGAACTGGCCCCAGGTGGTGCAAACGCCGCTCGATTTCACGGCTGGTTCTGCGCGAACCGACATCCGTGAATATACACTTTTCGAAAATTCAGCGTCGCCTGGTGGTTCAAATAGAAGTTTAATTTTTGTTGTACAACGATTTCCCAAAAAAGTATACGATGTATTTTCACCGCAAAAAAAAAAAAAAATCTATTTTTCGCAGAACGTTTATTCTATGCATAAATGTGGCGCTAGCTGTCCGACCCAAATGCCAAAGTTTCTAACTTAACCATTTTCTTATTCAAAAGTTATAAGAGAGGGTTGTTAGCGCTACATTTGGGCGGAGAATAAGCGTTCTGCGATCCATAATCTTTTTTTTTTTTCTGGTGAAAAAAGACTAAATGGTTTGGGTGGACACCTTGTACTGAAGGCCGTCATGAAAATGTAAATCATCTTGCACGACGACTCTCACGCGCCAACGTCAGGTGAGAATTAGTTCTTTACCACATATAAAGAAAGCTCTTTCACGATTTGTGTCGGTTTCGGAGGTTGCACGAAAGAAGCAGTCAGTACTGAGTGTTGACTCATAAATAACCTTGATCAAACTCCAGTCATCGAGGTAACTTTAGAGCCAACTTTAATGCGTAGACATAGATTGCGCGCGAATCCAAAATGGGCGCTGACACAGTGCTTGTATCTAATTTGTGCATCGCGTCCTGTTAACGTCTTACATGTTCAGGTCTCGCATCCTTCGCTTGAGAGCATTTTAAAGTTACTCATTCATCAGCCTCAAAAGGCCGCCCTTAGTGCGGCACAGATGCCATACACTAAAGGCCCGTTCACACTCTTGCAACCGAGTGCGACCGAGAGAGACCAAACCGGTTTTTAAGCCTCTTGCGATCTCTTAGGACCAGCTCCGCTCAGTGCATCCGGTCCCTAGAAGTCTTTCTCGGTCGTACTCGGTTGCAAGAGTGTGAACGCGCCTTTAGGTGATGATAGTGATCAGAGTGGCCAGACTGATTATCGGGAAAGGTCATTCTTGAGCATGTATTCGCTTTGTCTTAGCTTTCTCACGTCCTTTCACGGTGAACAGTAGAGCAAATAATACGGGACGAGTAAACTACAGCTAAATATTCCTTCGTGAAATAATCCTGGGAAAAATCTGAGTAGTTCGTTCGTTCTCTCGCACTGCATGTCGGTACAGACAAAATTTCCTCCTTTTTTTTTAGTACTCCGTGTCACTAGTTGGGTGCAGTGTAGGCGAAGGCAACGCCAGGCGAAGGTAGAAAGGGCGACCACTAGGAAAGCGGGACGGGAGAAGCGAGGGGCGAAAAGCGAGGGGAGAAAGGGAGAGCACTAGGAACGTTAGAGAGGAGAGGAGGTTTCTCGCCCCCTTTCCAGTCTTCCTAGTGCTTGCCCTTTCTCCCCTCGCCTGGCGTTGCCTTCGCCTGTACTGCACGCAACTAGTCACAAGGAGTATGAATGGGAATTTTTTATGCAGTTTTTCTTCTATGTTTCGTAAAATATTCCGAGTAATTCCTAGGTCTATTCTCATCTTCGTTCCATTCCATTTTCGTCTAAGGACCAGAAAAAAATTTACTATAATTTTGCCACAAGAGGCGTGACAAGAGTCTCACCTCTTGAACTTGCAGTTTTATAAAACTGAAGTTTTAGAAAGGGGACGTACAAATATAGGCTTAAAAATCATTATAATCTCATCTTGTCAACGGGGCCCAAGAGAACCAGCTCGATGAAATTGGAATCCCCTACGTACTTTTAAGGATAGACGCATTTCTTCTTACTGCAACCGAGAAAAATTCGATTTTTTTTTCTTTTAGAAAACGTGCGGCGTCTAGATCTTCCTCTTCAACGCGGAAGGCGACGCGAATTATGAGTTCTAAGAAACGTTTTAATCTAGAAATTCGATTTGTGCTGGGACGCTAAGCGTAACGCGTCAAACGCTTAACTCTAATCGGGTTTCAAGAATATTCCTGTGTTTTTTTTTTTATTTATTTTTTGTCCACGAGTGCACCTCTTTTTTTTTTCTTCTTTTTTTTTTCACTATTCATGTTTCCCAGTAATGCTTTCATGTTGTCATGTATTTCTATTGCGTAAAACTTAAGGTCAGACGATTGCACCCTAGCGTTCTTAAAACCTGACGCGTTTCGCGTTGCATTTTTTTTGGGAGGGGGGCTTCGATTTTATTTTTGTATTTTGTTGCTTCAATTCCGAGAAAGCCTACAATATGTGACTCGTGTGAGACCAGATTCAAAAGCCAGTGGTTCCCAGGCAGACGTGCACGCGTTACTAAAGTAGAGTACCCAAATCCCGTTCCTCGCTACTCACTAAAAAAAAAAAAAAGAAGTTGCTAAGTGCCTCACTCGTTACTGCGATGTAACTGGAGCGCGTTACCTCAGCTTGCAAGTAACGCGTTATTTTCCCAGTTCCTCTAGGCGCGTCGCTTTTATGAAGCAATAGCCGCCTGCAATATCTGCCGTCGTTGATAACCCCTCGCTTTCTAACGGGTTTTCAGATATAACTGTGGCTATACCGATATACCTTGCGCACATCTCCTTATGCTCCATGTAGCGATTTCTCATCGTACAAACTACAGACGCGCGCTGGGAACGAGAATTATGTAGCGTACTCGTGTCGTACACGTTCCCCCCCCCCCCCCCCCCCCCCCCCCCCCCCCCCCCCCCGGGAAGAGACTACATACCATTTCTCGTTATTTCATCAAAAATTAACGAAAATGCGTTACTCGTTCTTAAAGGGGACTGTATAGTCTAAAAAAAGGGCGTCACCTTACACCCTTATGCCCCATATAATGCACCCCAAAACCTTAGTGCGACTTACAGCACACTATACTCGAACAGCCGGCTCCAAATTTTACGAGGGGCTTGACAACGGCTAAAGTACGTATCAAAGTACGTACTACAGCTAAAGTACGTATCAAAGACCACAGAAAGAAAACACTGATGTTTTTCAGAAGAACCAAGAAAACCCCGATTTCTTTTTTTTAAAATCAGTTTCACGTACATTATCTATTTTAATAAGTTGTACCACACGGCTATCAAGACTCCCGTGAAAGTTAGTACCGCCAGACCGACTATGGTGCGCTGTACGTCGAACTGAAGTTTTGGGGTGTAATATACGGAACAAAGGGTGTACGGATACACCCTTTTTTTAGAGTGTACTTTGTTTCACCATAAGTCCAGACGTAGCAGACGCTACGAGTTGATGGGACCGATCAGACAGCGCCAAAAGCGCACCATCGTGGTGATGTACGCCATGTTTCTGCACGTGCTCTACCATCTCTGAACCAATCATGAACAAAAAAGACCCGGTGACTTGACCTTTTATCACTGCTTGATTGGTCCCATGAACCTGTAGAGTCGGCTGCGTCACGACTTAAGCTGAAACCAAGTACAGGTCCAACTGCAGGCTGAAACGTTGTGTAGGATGCGAAACCGGGGAGGATTTTTTATCATCCTTTCCAGATGCTTCCAAACTTCCTGAAATTGACTCACTTAGGAATTTTTGATGACGCTCCGCATGTTTCTAATTGGAACCATGTGTTTATTTTCACTGATTAAAAAGGTGATTAGGAGGTTTTAGGTTGTTGTTTTGCTAATTAATGTTGTCTGTTTTTGTTAATTTTGTTTTAGTGTTTGTTTGTTTGTATGTTTGTCTTTTGCATTTTTTGACATTTCCCGCGGCTGGCAGTTTTGTTCCCGAAAATATGTTTGAGAAAATCGGAGACGGCGGACGAAAAAGGGGTCAAACAGAAAACGTGTCAATATGTAAGTAGCGTAGTCGTACGTTCAAACAACGTGCACTAAAAGACGCGGTTGGCCCGATTCACGTAATATGAACGCAGGCATTAATAGTTTTTCTCCTGTAGTTAAGGAATGAACAGCAGAGTTCATACCCTGAGGCCTAAGTCTTGCTGTCGTACTTCCGCGTAATCTACTATAATCAGAGTTGTAATAACAGTCTTTCAATCAGAACTCGGACCTTGGCTAGAACATCAAATCGCCTGCATGAATTGCTAGAAAAAAAAAAAGTTAATTCTTACCTTTCACTGGCGGAATCTGAAAAAAAAAGAAAAAAAAACAGTGTCACTAACCGCATTTTTAAAAAGATCTTAAAAAAAATGAAAGCCGCTTACAACTCGCTGTAACTCCGAATTAGAGCGCAGCTCTGGAGGAGGAGGAGGGAAGGGTACCGAGGGGAAGGTAAATCCAGAGCTGGCAGTAATGTAATTACTGTAATGAAATTACAGTAATTTAATTACTTGTTCCAGTAATTAGTAATGTAATTCATTACTTTTTGTAGCAGGTAATTTAGTAATGTAATGAATTACTCCAGCGACGGTAATTGTAATTAAATTACCTAATTACTTTTTCGCACCAGGCATATTTTTGTGTCCACAATACACAAGAGCGCTTTTCTTTTTATTTTACTTTTTCTATTTCCTCTACACCTTTCCGAAAAACGCTCTTCGGCCGCCGCTACGTTGCTGATGCTCATGCGGCTGGTGCGACTCTCGCGCCCGCCTCCAGCTAGACATTTTCTGCCACTCACTTGAACTGTGAAAACCCGCTCAGCGCGATTCTCTACCTATATTTTGCGGTTTTGCATTCGACGTTTTCTGGCCCCTCTTGAAAGTTTCCGCTTACTTTTTCTGATGCATGCTGCGTACCCTCTCTGTGTTATCTTCCACTGTGAGAAATAGGGCTGGTAAGTGCCTGCCATTCGAGCTTTTCTGCTTGACATTCTCGGGAAACGAAGGAGGGGAAGTAGGTCGAACTTAGGCCCCTGGTGGAACGGCCTCGACGCGATTTTGCGAACAATGACAATTGTTCTCCCCCACCCAGAGATAATCCGCGTAGGGTCCTCAATCATCTCCAAAAATAGTTGTCCGGGTTTGGGTGGGAAACGGATCAGTCGCGTGCGTTCCTCTGTCCATCGGTAAACATGCAACAGAGAGTTCTAGCTGTGTGCCATGAACTGTGTAAATAATGTAAATAAAGTTATCTGTAAAAGGAAGTTATCAATAGCTCCTTTATATTTAAAAGTGTACAAAAGTAATGCGAAAGTAATGTCATTACTTTTAAAAGTAATTTGTAATGGTAATTATTTACTTTCTGGCTGTGGTAATTTGTAATGTAATTTAATTACATTTCAGCAATTTTCAGCAAAGGAATTAGTAATGTAATTTAATTACAAAGTATGAGTAATTTGGCCAGCTCTGGGTATATCCTTCCTCCCTCCTCCTCACCCTGTCTGCTACTCCTCCCTCCGAGCGGCGTCGCCGTCGCCTCACGAGAGTCACGTGACCTAACGGGGTCATTTGACTCACCGGGGTCACGTGACTCACGGAGGTCACGTGACCCCTGTGAGGTCACGTGACGATGACGGCATCACAATGACGTCATCGTCATCGTCGACGTGATGATGTCATCAGTGAAGTCACTATGGAGGCGATATAGCTATGAAATAACCATAATCTAAAACCTTCAGATACGAAAAAGAGTTGTGTTGTATTGACCGCTATTTTGTTTCTCCGGGTCTCAAGGTGGTAGATTACCATGTCGTTCTTTCAGCACTGCAACTTACCCCTTCGGCAGGAACGTCCGGTCCTCCTTTGGTCTCATCTGTTTCCTTGTGGGGTTCGATGACCTCCTGTTCAATCTGGTTGTCGGACGGCGGTCTAGGCCTAGGTCCGGTTGTCTCCCCTTCCACGTCGATATGTGTCTGCTCGAAGTGACCGCTCGGAGGCAACTCGTTTCCTGGCAGAAATGACCCACCACCTGCGATGATCCCCGGGTTTTCAAAATGAGCAACAAGTTCAGGATTTGATTCGCTAGAAAAATTAAAAGACATGCCCACGCCAGAGGTCCTACAGGTGGAACCGTGCCTTAGGGGCCTTAACCGTTCGAGTTAACGCAAGCTAAAACAGGGGTCTCAAACGCGCGGGCCGCATGCAGCCCGCAACCCTCTGCGACGCGGCCCGCAAGCATCCTTGTTTCTCGAGCACTAAATGTGCCGTAAATTATAGTTTCATATCATCGATTCCCTTCCGATCGAAAAAAGCTCTGCACTTACAGTGTAACTTGTTTAAGCTCACTATTTTATTTTAAATTGGATTGAATATTGCTCCGTCTAAATATTTGCTTCTTAATCAACCAGAACGACAATACCACTACCAGGCTACAAGCGCGAGCTTTTTGCTAAAGGAAGCACCTCGGCTGCACGAACTCTCGCTCACGTGGGAAAGATGTAGTTGTGTTGTCCCTGTTTTAATTGTTTATTCTTTCTTCATCCATGAGAACAAAAACCACTGCCGTGAAAAAAAAATGTTATGAGTTAGGTCTTTTAGCCGTCAGAAAATACCTTTAAAATATGAATATTTTCTTATAGTGCTACTGTAAAAATTGTCAGAAAAGCAAACACCGTAGTATGAAGAGATTTCTTTTTGATACCTATTGAACCATGGCAATAGTGCGATAGGGCAACGACAATGCTGTTGCTCTCGTTCTATTCAAAAATGTCGGCACGCAGGCGTTTTAAATATTGCCACATCGGGTGTGCACCGAAAATAGTTGTATAAGCAAATGAAACCTATAACGATGTCACTGGCACAACGGTGGGTCTAGAGAAAGCAGAAAGCATGAGGTCCCTTCTCTAGAAAATATCTGGGGTGTCGCTGGGATGGGAGAGTCGGCCGCTTCTGCAAGGTGAAACAAAATTGCTGTTGTTATCGTGTTTTGTTTGTTTGTTGTTTTTTTTTTTTTTTTTTTTTAATACCAAAATATTGTTGCACCCCCTTTCCCTCTCGTCGGCCTTCGGACTTTTGTGGGTGGGCTACGTGGCCCCCGGACTTGAACGAGTTTGAAACCCCTGTCCTGGAATAATCGAAACCTGTTCACTACAATCGCGACGTCATCGCCGTAAAATCGTTCGCAGATGCAATAAAGTATTTTTAAAAATCTGGCTTAGTAGTTCAGTTAGCAGCGCACTCGGCTTCCACGCCGGTGGACGGGGTTCAATCTCTAGCACCGTTGCCGTTTTGTTTTTCTTTTAAGATCATTAAGCGGTTACCGACTGACCACACCTCCATGTTTCGTGCTTAGGCGGCGGCTTCTGAGGTTGGTAGAGCCCTACAAAGCTGGCCGTTTTCAAAAAATTATCCAACGCCGGCGCTTGCCCTCGTCCGCTCCTTCGTGTCTGTCCTTTCTGTTTGAGCCCCATACGAGTCCACTCAGTAAAAATGCCCGGGGTGATAAAGCTTCGGTAGTAAATCATTCACCTTTTTTTTTGTTTTGCAACTATAAAGTTTGTTTCGGTAGCCTCATTTTTGCTGGCGGAAGCCATTCATTGGCTACAAAGTTTCGCTTAGCGTGGGAAAAAAAAATTTTTTTTTTTTTTTTGAGTGGGTATTATATGTTATTTTTGTTTGTGTACGAGTGTATACTTTTTCTTGGGGGGGGGGGGGGGGGGGGGGGGCGGTATATTTGCATTGTTTCTTGTCTTTGAGCAAATATGTATGAAATTTATTTTTTTTATATTTTTGTCGAAAACGTGTACTCCCCCTTATACAATGCCCGAAGGGGCGCTTTGAGGTATATTAAATAAATAAATAAGTAAATAAATAAACAAATCTTGAAAGCAACATCCCAGTGGCGGATGTGACGTACGTGCTTATCTGCAAGCGTGGCAAAACTGCTGGATAGCCAGAACTTGGTGGCATTCACGTCGTTGAACAAAGAACCATATTAAAACCGACGTATTCCTACTTTCAAGTTGTCCTGCCTCGTAATGAAATGAAATGTAAGCTTTTAAAAGTCTAACACTGGTGCAGTTTAGTCCAGCCACACCCATGACTCTTTGAAACTTCGAGCGATCTTTGAAGACTGTCTGGGCAACTAATAAAGTTTCGATCAACGAAATCACGTCAGGGTGTAACCAACCTTTTTCATCTTTGATCACTGAATCTCTCGAAATATTGCAGCTTTAGCTTTAAGAACAATATAGAACCAACTGTAGTACAAAATACTTATTCACAATCAACGAGTCTCCATAACGTATTCCGTGTTTATTTATTTTTAAAAACATTCGAAGAAAATAGCGCTCCATTGTTGTCCTCTATATACATAAACACGTAAGTGCTACTGTCGTTGATATATGGAGCGCCATATTACTCATTGAGTGTAACGACGCTTGGAGAGTTGTTGAGCCCGGATAATGTATCCTGACGAAGTATGTGAACTTACTGGGGATGCATCCGGCCACAACGGGAGGATTCCAGATTCCCTCGATGCTGCAGCGGTACCTCATGGGGTTCGGGTGCGGATACACGAATCCTGGCGGGCAGGTGACTTCGCACAGCGTCTCCTGTTGCGTGTGGTTGCAGTGCCAGGAGCCGCCGTAGTTCAGTATGTGCCCGTCGCACAGGTCAATCGCTGCCATAGAGAAGCAAGAAGCAGGGAGGGGGGAAAAGGGGGGGGGGGGGGTAATTATAGCGACGTTAACGTTAAAAAATTCAAAACAAGCAAAAAAAATGAGACATGAAGGAAATCATGAAGTTGATAATTAGTTTATTTTCTACTATAGTTTCATGACAGCAATCAAGTAAAAAGTTGGCGCGTCCTTTACCGCCTATAAGGTATAGGTTAAAATTTAAAAAACGAACCCTGGAGAGCGTCAATAAAAAGAATTATACCCGTTTCCACCTCAAGAACCGCAGTGAAAAAAATTCCGGCTCCTCGAGGAGCATTACTAACTTTCTCTTTTATGTTGACAATTAATATATGTGTAGGTTATTTTAAAATAGATATGTGTTATCTAATCAAGACGTAAACGTTTCAAACGCCAAAAGTATCACTTCTTCCTTCCTCCGACAACCAAATCTTGTAAGAACTACTTCGCCCGGCGTATGGACAATGCGCAAAACTTCCTTTTGTCTTGAGTTGAAACCGAGTATAGAGATGTAACTTTTCCGAAAACTTTTAAAAGCTTTAAAAAAAACTTCTTTTTTTTTTCAGAAAAAGTTTACATTTTTAAAAATTAGATAGTTGCACAAGTGAACAAATAATTACCTTTTCAAAGTGTATTATATCTGCAAAATAGCGCAAATTTTTTATGGTTATTTTAATTGAATAAATAGTTGGAACCTTCTGCGTAATATTGTATGTTAATTGAATTGGCCAGTGTAAAAAGTCAGTATCCGCAAGTTTAATTGCACAAAGACTTATTTGTGTACGCTCGGTGATCAGCCTGTTCAGTAGCGACGTGCGCATGCGCAAATGTTTAGACTCCGGCCGTTTGTGTGTATGTATGTGCATGCAACGAAAGATTATGTGCGTGAGAGCATGCCATTCTGAACTGCCTTTTCGGATTGGATATGTCACAGCAAACTTCTTACGCTCAGCGAAAGCTTGCGTTGTTCTACTTTTAAAACAAAAACAGGTCACTATAAGGGTTTGATAAATTTTACTGATCAGTCCACGCCACCAAAAATCACTAGATACCACCATTCAAACGTGGGAAGCACCACAACTACAAAGTAAAGTTGAAACATTGATAAGGGACGCGGCGACTCACGTCTTTATTAGCACAGGAAGTGCGTTGGAAACTCCCACAGACACCAAATCTTTTAAACTCTTTGTGAGCTATTTTTTACATGCTCTCATATTTCTGTAGTCAACGCAGGAAAAGTCTTTAGTGAATATATTTTGACAGCATTAAAATAAAGGCGGGTCCTGGATTTATTTTCTATCCAGTTCTTGGTTCGTGAAAACCACCGAAAACCGCCGATCTTTTTCCCAATTTTTAGAGTATTATTGTGTACATCTCAACTCCAAGCGCAAAAGCGGCTCTGATAGAATTTCGCGACACATGCACAATTCGTTGATTATGTATGTATAGATGTATACTCTGTATACATGAATACATTAATTCTGTTTCGACACGACATGTCTCAACGTTCGTGTCGAAAGATACGAACTGTTTGTTTTTAAGGAGTTCTTCAAAACAAATAGGCCTGTTTCTCTCGCATTGGTAGTTCAATGAAAATACGGCAATTTTAAAAAAGCTTAATAAAAAAATTCATTATATTCATCTATACTCACGGTACTGGCAATGGTCTCCTCGAAACCGCTTGGAGCAAACACAATGGTTGTTGCCATAACAGCGACCTCCATTGAGACAGGGCGGAAAACACAGACCTGCGATATGCAAAACAGCGAACACGTCAATGAGCATTCGACGCGAGAGTGGCACTTTTTATACTTCTTACAAAAACCTGGCTGCCGGTCAACATCCAACCGTGTTAATCGTGTTACTACTACGCAGCGTGAAATGCACAGCTGCGCTCGAGTACACAAACAGATATAGGACTTGCGCTATTCTATGTCAGCTTTCGTTTGTTCCTGTCTTGGTGGTGATTTTCAGTTTTGTTTGCTAAATAGTGAACTAACTTGAAGAAACCATTTCTTTTTAATTAAGCGATCACACTATTTTTGAGCTAGTGACCGATGTCAGAAAATAAAGGGGAAAATAAAAGACTCGCGCCTCGCGTTCGCCGGACTTCATCAAAAAATAAATTTCGGCTAATTAGCTTCTGGGTTAACTATGTTATCACGTGCATCGTCTAATCTTAAAAAAAAAAAAAAAAAAGTTAAACTAATTCTCGAGTTGTTTTTACATGAGTTTACGTGAAAGCTTCTCCCATTCGTGTGACCACGGTATGGAGCACAACTTAGCTCAGCTTTGAACTATCTTTGAACATGGTGAAGACAACGGACGCGAGCTTTCAGCATTTAATAGCAGCCGTAATGCTTGCACGCGTGCGGTGGAGGCCGCTTGAAATTTGAAAGTTGACAGTCCGATAGCCTTTTTTCTGTTTTATAATAGTAAAACGTGTGTCCCGTCTTCATACTCTTTACGAACACGTCAGAGCCGCTAGATTAGCAATATCTTATTCGATTTCATGAAAAAATATGCGAGTAATATTGATTCCGATCTAGAATTGCTAATGAGTATCGAGTGCCACGATCAAGCGTTTGTGAAATTACTTCGTTTGTTGGGCGTATTAAAGGACAGTAAAACAGACAAAAAACACTTTTTTTTTTTCCTTACAAAGCAAGGACATTTTAGGAAATTGCAAGGCTGCTCTGAAGCAAAGGCAAGCAAATGAGCGCCTGAGTACGTAACTTTGGACCGCAATTTTCGCCGTGCAAGCCATTGTTTTTTTTTTTTGTTTTTAGATCCTTCCTTAAGTTCTGAACTCGCGCTCGTAAAGCCTTAGCGATCTACCTGTGATCAAGATCAAATGCCGATGTTCAAATATCGCATTGGTTTTCCTACCATCTTTACATGGCACACGAAAGTGTCCCTTCAACGCTCAGCTTTCACTCTTATCGCGCTAGTTGGTAGATCAAAGGATGCCACCTTCTTGAAACTGAAATCTACTATAAAAATGACTCGCATTGAGGAACCCTGTTGTTTACTGACGATTTGAGATTGGATACGTGTTCTCTGAAACTTCCCACGCTTTTACGAAAGGATTTTTTGCATGCTAAAGCATTTGGATGTAATATTGCAAAGTCACTGTAAGCAACGAGGACGGGCAGTGCGCCGAGGTTCAGGATGCGTACCTTCGCAGTTAGGGAACTGCTGGAGCGGTTGCCACAGGCCAGTCTCTCGATCGCACTGAAGCGTCATCTCGTGACGGCCGTCGGGAAAACGGAAGCCCGTCATACAGGTGGCAGTGCAGCTCCTGGCATAAGAAACAACGTTGTTGCATTTCGAAATGTTGCCTTTTTTTTTTTTTTTTCTTAGGTAACGTCTTAATCTGTGTTAACTGGAACACCAAAGAGCGTGTCATTGAGTACTATCGGAGTGTTCTAACGAACCGGCGTGTAACGACGCTTCCGCATCGCTGCAGTTGCAGCTGCGCATCGCGCCGTTAGAGTGCTCCAATTGTACCCGATACAACGCCCACCCGTGTTCCCGCTAAATGGGATTAAAATAGCGCAGCACACTCGACAAAATTGGCATTTTTCTTTCGCGGATCTGTATAAAAATGTCCGAGATTTTCTAATTCGCAGCTAGCAACGCGGTCCAACGTGGAAAGTCTCGCCTGCGTCACGAGAGATACACTCAAGCAGGTTTCTTATAAACAGATCGGTGCCGCTCGTAGGGAAAACAAAAAGAGTTAGTCCCACGAATCATTGTTTATTTCCTACATTCTGAAATAGTGGTGCATCTACTTTCCCGCAGATCTTGCGGAGGACAGACACTGCAACCTACGAGGGTCACTGGCCAACAGCCAGAACTGAAAAACAAAACAAAAACATATCCACCTGAAACTAGAAGTGTTGAGCGTCCTGACCCATTTTCTTCGCTCATACTATGCCCGGTTTCAGATTGCGAACATTATCTTGGTCGATACGTTTATGACTGCACCTAAAGGCACGTTCACACTCTTGCGACTGCTTGCGACCTCTTTAACCTGGGTTCCTTAAAACTTCTTAAACCAGAGAACACACTGGCGGCATCTATTGGGAAGCAGTGTAAACTCAACGGTCCGGCATATATTTTTTAAATTTTCGCGCAAAATATCCTTTCTTTTTTGGCTCGAAAAACTTTTGTCAATGTTATAAACGAGCCTTTCTATGGGTATTACGCACATTTGACCTCGGAAATCCCGCAAAACCTTCGCTTTTGTGAAATGCAGTTCTAGGGTCACCGCATAGATGGCGCCACAATGTCAGTGTGTTCCCTCATTCTAGAAACATTTAAGAAGTTGTAAGAGATCTCGTCTCTCTCAGTCGTACTCGGTCGCAAGAGTGTGAACGGGCCTTAACCATTTCCGTCGTCCAAACAGGGACGGAAGTCGATAAGCCGACTGTCAGCAGAATGCCGACGTAGTGCTCGTCTTCTCGGTGATTGGACACCGGTGCCAGCCGAACGACTTGTTCGTTTGCATCCGCGTTACTCCCGGCATAGGGAAGACATCACGTGTTCAGATATACAACGTCGTTCTGCTCCGTGAAACGAGCGCGCTTCGGGTTTCCACAGAGAAAGAGCGCCAGAGAAAGTCACGGAAAAGCAGGGGGAGAAAACGCAGACCTGTTAAACGTGCTCAATATGTTAATGCAATTAATGCAAAGGTTCGAGCGAGCTGAATGGTACACACAATAATATTCCTTGGAAAAGTGATTACTGCACTTTAACGTTAATAGCATTAACATCATAACCTTCAAATGCAGGCCGTTCACCTTTGTTGGTGTGGTACTGGTGGCAGCTGATAAAACCCGTTCGCTCTACCGGCGTCTAACTCGTGGTTTGCTCAGTTGGTAGAGCGCACCGCTAAAAATGGAGAGGCTCCTGGTTCGAAACTAGGAACAAGTTGACCTTTTTTCAGCGCGCACCAGTCATATATAGCTGTTGAAGGTTTGTGTTTGCTCTTTGTCCCACCTGTTCCCCTCCTCTAGGGGTTATTATCGTTTAGACGTGCTCACTTTTCTGCAATGGTAGTAACCGGTTAAGATATGTTTCAGTGTTTGCTTTTCTTTTGCCGCGAGCTGGCACCAGAGCGCTGCTCAGCGCTGCCGCGTTTTACTGGTTCCGTTTTCCGCGCATTCCGTCTACATTGTCTCACACTCCAAATGACTCTAAGAAAGTGGCATTCACATTGCCACCACAGAAGACAACACCCAGCTAACATTCGCGCCTTCCAGTCTCGACGTATGTACGCAATTTCTCCACACTATAACAAAACATGTAATGTGCTACAACTTCCTGAAGCGCGTATGGCGAAGTGGTGACTTTCTTCTTATTTCCTAAAAATGCCAACGTCTTTACTTCTCTGAGTGGTCTGCGCGAGAAGTGGTGGCGTTGGCACTTTTTAGTGATACCTGGAAAGAACCCGGCCACCGCTCGCCATAAGATCTTTCCCAAAAGCACTTACGCTTGCACTCTTTTGTTTTCTTATTTCTAATAAGAGTTATAATTGACATCTTTGCGAGGGATAGAAAATATGCATAAAGCTCGGCAGCTCAGATATAGTATTAGGAGTAAAAGTAAAATGCCTTAACGCACAAGCGAAATTTCAGGTGACAAGTGATTAATTTTCCTTATTAAAAAGAAAAAAGAAAAAAAAACCTCGAGACTCGAAGCAAAAAAACACGGGACAAGACAGCACCTGTCAAGATTTGTTCCTATTTTTGTCCCTAGTCTCAAGGTCTTTCTTTTTCTTTTTCTTTTTCTTTTTCTTTTTCTTTTTCTTTTTCTTTTTCTCACTATGATCGTTTACCGGCTCGCCTGCTCAGTTTCATATTCGCTACTGTTTATTTGAGATGGCTTTTCTGGATACACTTTACCTGTTTGAGCTATTAAGAATATGTAAGCATTTGTACATCACTATAATAAGAAATAAAAAGGTCAGGCTTCCAATACAAGTCGTCCTTTTTATGCAGCGGCCCCATATGGAGGCTAAAAGCAACGAATTTCTTCCTTTGACGACCAAATTGTGTAAGAACTACTTCACGCAACGCATGAATAATGCGCAAAGCTTCATTTTTGCTTTATCTGGCAACCAATATGGGGCTTCACTTTCAGCCAGTGAAAGCATTTTTTCGGCGCCGACTACTGTCGCGGTATATGTGTATGAGAAGACATAGTGGAGCTGCAATAAAATGGAACTTGGCGACCAGTTGCGTGCTCTCTGACGCCATCATGTCGGTCGTCCCAATTTCTACACAATGTTTATGCGCAAGTGTTAAAGCATCAAACCCCCCACCCCCTCAATTCTAAAACATTTTGTCCGTTCGTACGTCCGTGCAATTCCCGCTAAATTTAGCCGGGGAATTCACGTCACGTGACCAAAACACGAATCTAGTTTCCTCGCTAAATTCAGCGGGGAAATTTATGTTACATCAGCTAACGGCACGAGTCTTACGAGCCAATACAATTTCCTCCAGTAAATGTAGAGGGGAAATTGCCCTCATGTTTCCTATACGTGAATTCAGTTTCTCCGCTAAATTTGGCCAGAAAATTGATGTCACCGTCGTCACGCGACCTCACGTCACAAGAAGTACACCTGTTCAGTCTCTCCGATAGATTTAGTGGGAAAATCGTTGCCACGTTATCTCACTTGGCGTGATCTCCATACCAAATTAACTTCCCGTTAAATTTAGCGGGAAAATTGACGTAGCGTGTAATTTGTTTTAAATCAGTGTCCCTGCTAAATTTAGCGGGAAAATGAATAAAAACATCGGTTTTTCTTACTCCCCAGGCGACCGTTTTAATGCCTTCTACACAAATTGAAATGACCATTCCTTAAATATTGACAATATTTTAATGGTGCTTAATGGAGCTCAATACTCACATGTGTCCCCCTCTCTTTAGACATGACGTAGATGCAGCGTCGGGGCTTGGTGGAACCTCACACCACTTCTCCGCTGCAACCAAATGATGATGTTCTTGTCTTAATTAGATTAATTGCGGCAAAATGAACCAGTTTACTGGCATCCAGTGTGAGCTTGTGCGTTTTAATTGTATTAATAAGTGCGACAACAATACTAACTGGAGTGCCACCCAGTTTATGTTATCATGTCATTGCGTTCATGGCCACAAAGCAAGACAATTATAAATCAAGAGCTAACACTTTTTTGTGAACATGTTTCTACAGTTCTTTTGTTTAAGAATCGACGTGATTACAGTTCTTTTATACGTTTAAGGCATGCTTTTCTGCATAAACTGATCTTCAAGTTTTTTGTGTTATAGAACTTTTCCATAAAGAAAGCTTGAAAATCGGTTTGATAAAGCGTGGTTTCGTCACAGTATACTTTTCCACCAAAAATCTTAAATAATTATTCATATTGAAACCAGCAAACTTACGATAAAACTGCAGCTTACAAATTTAAGTGATCTATGCCTGATTCTTCCTTATTCAAGTCAAGACCAACGTGTTGGTAATACCGATTACACATTGGGGAATGTAATATATCAGGGCGAGGAGACACAAACTTCCATCAGTTTCTGCTTGTCCGTCCTTATCTGTTGCATTCTTCAATGAGTGGTTGTACAACCGTTTCCTGGCATGCTAATCATAACCCTGTTATTGACACATCGTGGCGATGTGCATGATCCGCTCACCGTCCTTCCACCATGCTCCTTTGCCTCCTGGAGAACCGCCTTTAACACCCTTGGCGCCGCCTTTAACCCCCGGGCTGAAAGAAACAAAACAACAAACACGTTATGAACAAGGCCGTGAGCAGAGTGGAGTGCGAAACAAGCTTTAATGTCTACTTTCTCTCATGAAAGTGCTCGGAACCTGGGACAGCCCTCAGAATGCAGCGAGGGCCACAAAAGCTTTTCTGCGTTTCCTAATGAAACGCGGCTGAGCTTCTGCCTCTAAAGGACTCACGTACTTTATTTGTAATGTGATCTATAGTTCGTGCTCTCGTGTCACTATTCCTTTTTTTTTTTTTTGACATGTTTATTGTTCTATGTTTTCCTATCCTTTCCTTCCTCTTTTAACTCCCCACTACCCCCTCCCTAAAACAGAGTAGCCAACCAGGACTCCAACCTAGGTTAACCTCTCTGTTCTTCTTTTTCCGACTCTCTCTCTCTCTCTCTCTCTCTCTTCGAACCTTTTTATCACCTACACTGGAGTCGTGTTTCTGGAGAAGCAAAATTATCCGCACCTTTAGGCCCGAGTCCCACTAGAGCAACAAACAGAAACCACCGACGCTGACAAGCCTCAAAGACGTGGATCTTGCACGTAAAGGCATCTTTGGCGAGTTTGCAATTGCTCGTTCTGCACGTGTCTGCGACTTGTCGGCGTCGCTTGTTTCTGTTTGTCGCTTTGATGAGACTCGGGCATGCGGAGACCCCAGACGACATTGTAACGCAGCCTAACTACCCTCTGCCTAAAGCTCGGTGCTTTATAAAACAGCGTTTCAAGGAATGACGTTTCTAGAACGCGTTTCTTTCAGGAGGAAGCGAGGAATGCCACCGTTCCATCTTGCAATGGTGAAAATAGAACGGGAGTTGTTACGTTTTCGAGGAAAAAGGCAAAAAGGAACGTTGTTCTTCTTTGCAATTTTTCCCAAGTTTAGTAGGCGTTTCAATTTCTTATTGGCTACTATTTCAGCGTCCGACTTCAAGGGATGGGGGAGTGTCCAAGAGATAGTCTTAGACAAAGAACTGGAACGAATGTGATTGTGGTGACTCGACAGGTAATTTGATATGGATGTTCTTACTTGCTTGCTCTTTGTTTTATCTACAGATTATCCAGCACAATATTTTATTGGAACACGGATATGTAACGTTAAGGTAACGACCCGTTCCAATCTAAGAGATCTAACGGGAACCCGTTCCTTCTGAACCACAGAAACTTGTAAAGGAAACTCGTTTCAAGATTAAGAAGGAACGAGAAACGATCTTTTATTCCCGTTCTGAAGGAACGTGCACAACACTGCTGGAGATCTAGACACCATATGTGAATATGCTCTACACATCCTAGATGGGAAAGCTGCGGTGTTGGGTTCTCTATACGTATCTACCGGAGACAAGTGCGGGGCACATTTGGACAAGACTCCTACGTCCTCGCACGGCCTCGTCCACTTACTGAATAAAAGAAGACGTGGTTGACGGCATCTATGACGGCACCCATAAGCTGAAACAACAGCTAAAGCTACAAGCGCGAACTAACCCGCGTTCCCGGCTTTGAGTCCTGCATTTCTAGCACGAGCGCTTGATCTGTGGAAGAACGCTTCGAAGCAGAGACTTCGAGCTCTTGTAGTTATGCCATCAGCTGCAGTCTCAGCTTAAAGATTAAGGAGTAGTGACCTTACCAAAACAAGTTGGGGGACGCTTAAGTTTCACGTTTAAGAGTGGAATCCAATGGACCTGAAGCTGTCAAGTTCCGAGCAGCGCCCCTGGCGAGCAAAATCGAATAATTTTAGGTCACGTTTCCGTTGTCTGTTGCGTTGCGTTCTTTCAAACGCTCCGATGGTGACCGTGGGCAGACGCTGAGGCGCGCTGCGAGACGCTAGTTTACGCCTGTGGATCGTGCATGATGGGATGCTAGGACGCTGCTTCAAGTCAGCATTAAACGGTCGCGTCTCACGGACGCTAGCAGAGGCACCTGTCTTGTGGTCGCGTCATGTGTAGAGGGGCTTCTGTCATGTGGACGCTACAGCGCCCCCTGGACGAGATACAGGCCCATAGCGTGATCGGGCCTCGTTCGGAAAGCCCTTTCATATAAACCCGCGCTCGTTTCCAAGGCGTGCAAGCGTGGGTGCGTAGTCCATACTCCGTTCACCCTTAAGATGAGACTAGAAGCTCCACTTTATGCGCGAGCGTTCTGCCCGTGCTAACACAAGTGTGAACGCGTAGGCACGCGCAACCAAAGCAATGGGGCAGCCAGCGAGCTCGCGCTCAAGGCGGAGCTTCTAGTCTTAGCTTAAAGGCCGGTCCTCACATGAACCGAAGCGCTGATGTAGCGCTGCTCACGTGGCGTCAGCTAATTATCGTCTGCCATGGTCAACAGTTTCGACGGTGCGATACAAATCTGGGGAACGCTCCCGTCAGCACACGCTTAGCGCGAGGTAAGCGCTCTGCTTGTAGCGCTCCGCTTCATGTGTGAACAGGCCTTAAAGGTGCCCTGCAAAGTGTTTCTGGCCATTTCTTAATTTGCTTCGCGTTCGCTCGAACTAGTGAGTGAGACTCTAACAATGCGCTAAAAAAATGAAGAAGAAATCTGATGTATTTTGATCATAATAGGTGAAATAAGTTCAGAATGTTGAGAACATTTTCTATGTTGATGTCATCCTTGGTCTGAACCAATGGAGAACCGAATCGACAAAAGCGTGAAACAACTATGCGTGATCTCCCCTAATTGTTGTAATTAACATCCCCTTAAGAAGATGTGAACGCCCCACCAATTTAAGGGTGCTCCAAGCAAAATATCAGGCGCTTGAAAGGGTCAGAAGGGGTCACGTCCACCAATTCAGCCAGTCCTTCCTCTCGAATTTTATGTGGCCATTCATTCTCCGACGCTTTAGACCAATGTCGTTACTGAATGCTCGTGTTTGACACTGATTTGCACACCCTTCGAGCAACATTTGGTTTTCTTCATCCCTTTGCGGTGCCCCTTTAAGGGTGAAAGAATTATTGTCGGTAGCGTCACGTGTCACGTGACGTCACACGTGAGCGTTGTGGGTTGTTTGAAATTCCCGTGCGAAGTCATGTGGCGTGACGTCACATGCGTGACGTCATATGTGACGTTACACATGACGTCATGCGTGGCTGTGACGTCATGACCCTATCGACCAGCCAAAAATTTAGCGGCAAATTTTCCCGCCGTGATTACGGGAAATTTTTTTGCTCCAAGTTTAGCGGGAAAATTTGACCAACGTGACGTCACCAGGTGCCCATGCCGGGATTTTCCGGTCCCACCGACGCCGACGCCGGATTTTCCACGACACGAGCTCTTAAACGCTGTCGCGTTAAAAGAACTCCCGGTCGGTTCCATTTTCGGTGTTCGTGCGTATGGTGCATGATTTGCTCGCTTTCCGAAGCGACGAACAAGCGCGCGCTCGGCTGAGGAAATCGCACGCTGGGGGTAGACGCTTCTTTTTGTGCTTGAGTGGCAGGCGCAAGTTCGGTTCATTAAACGTTCATTGCCAGTTCTAACTATCGTCTATTTAGTTATATTTGTGACGGGCCTTACGGCCTGTCAGCGATCCTAATAGGCCTAACCGGTCATTTCTTCCAGGTTACATCCCCCTGACGTCCGTCGCGAGGACCGACGTAAGAAATACTAGAACGCTTTTAGAAACACTCTGCTATTCGCGTCATGTTTTCAGCCCCATTTCTCTAAAAACATAACGTAAAAATTCGAGAAAAAGACATAAAAGAAGAAATGAAAATAAAAACAGAAGAAATGAAAACATTTCTGGGGTGGTTCTTTTTTATTATGTTTATCTTTGCAGGTATTTTCTTCTTTTTACCGGTTTTCGAAAGGGATGTTTTTCTTTGAAGGACCTGGCTGTCGATATTCAATTTCTGCGTTTGTATCACTCTAAGAGAAAAGTGCGGGATCAAACATGGACGGGCCTTCGCTTCTGATCCCTTCCTTCTTGCCCAATAGAATTGCCTGTTTGTTTGTTGCTGTTTTGTTTTATTTTTTTATTTTTTAGGGTAGCTTTTATGGCGGTGACTACAAAATACGTTCCACTTCTTCGCTCTGATCAACAAACATTCTGAGCGCTTCTGAGAAATGCAGGGACAAAGCGGATGTTACCTTCATTCAAAACGGAATTGCCCGGACTTTATTATATATCGAACTTTCGGAAGGCTAGCTGAAAAGAAATCGAGAAATTTCGCAAATAAGCGGTGACAACCGCAGGTCTTTTTTTCTTTTTTTTTTTTCTTTTTTTGTGTGT